CACCCCCCCACCCCCTCCTTGCACAGAATACACAATTCGGTTATCCTTGACAATCCACCCTCCTTCCCTCGTGCTAGAAAACGTAATGCAAGCCCCCTTCACGTTTCCCTTTCCCTCTTCCCATCTTCACATCTTCAAAGGGCACCCCTCAACAATCACTTCCTGGGATGATGGTAGGGATGAAACACAACACAACACAACACAACACAACACAAGACACAACATTTTGGGAGCAACAGCTGCAGACTCACCGTCCTGTCATGAGGAAACTTAGCAAGTTAAGGAAACCCGCCACTTTGTACAATGATTCGGCTCGCTTCAACATCCGCCATACCTGTTGCCACCGTGAACCCTGTTTCAAGAACAGGGTAGAGGGCAAGAATAGCAATAGCAAGAAAACGACAAAGTATCAAGTTACTATCAACCAGCAGAAAAAAAGGCCAGGTACAAAGTACAATGATCACATCACCGTTATGGCACGGGGGGGGGGGGGGGGGGGAGGGGGAATCAATTGAAAAAAGATAAAATAGTACAATAGTATAGTATTAAAGAATACAAAAACATAACTTTAAATAAGTGCATTGATGATTGAACTGCATTCTCATCGCATTCCGAAGGAGTCTCCAAGATCCAAAAGCTAAGGAAGCAATCGAAAGCACCCGATGAACAGAAGCCTTCTACGGATAGGTTAGTCCCAACTACCATCTTCACCGGAATAGGACGACCAGTCATTATAGCTGTACTTGGGGCAGCTTGCAGTCTAGATACAGCGATAATGACCAGTGTTCTAATCGGGTGAAGATGGTAGTTTATTGTTTGTGCCAACAGCTCAGGTTCCTGCGAACCCAGCACTGCCAGCCCTTCGACTTCGACTTGCCTGTCCACACCAGGGCCAGCACGTGAGTGTTGTTTCATCAGGGCTGCTGCTCTGTCCACACCAGGGCCAGCGATCGACTTCGACTTGCCTGCCATTCGCGTCCAAACCGATGACGGCAAACGCCGACACTCACAAACATATTAGTCTGTTGGAAAATGGAAAGACTCGGTAGCTCACATTTACCCAAACCACCTAAGTCCACATATTATCCCACTGGTCCAAAGAAATCAGTGGGTCCTTGTCTGTCTAACTGCTGTGGATTAATTCACTGCAGTAACTCTGCAGTTCGACCAAAAAGGATCCATCCACTCGCTAAGTTAAACGAACATCCGCTTCGCAGCCTACGAGGTGATATGAAGGTATTGCATTTTTCAATTTGTAGGAAAACAGATCAAGGATTCTAGGACCTAGACCTTCAGGAGACATTTCAATTACATTCGCGATCGTGGCAACTGGGGAAATAACTCCACGGTGATACCATACCACAGAGAATTCAGAGATCCCGTAGCAAGAATTGTCCTGTGCAGACCCTCCTTAAGGGGATCAGCCTAAAATGAGTGGGCTCTTGTCTGTCTAACCGCGCTGTGGATTAATTTGTAATTACTCATTAGCATACTTGCGGTGCACTTCTGCGCTGTGCCGTGCGGTGCGCATGCGCCATGTGCCATGCGCAAATTGGTGATGCGCTCAATTTTTTTTATTTTTTTATTTTTTTATTTTTTTTAAAGGTGTGTGTGTGGGCCCCTACATCCTTCCTCTCAACTCCATTTTGTTGTTTTTCAGGGGTGTGTGAGAGCGAAGGATTCCCTTAACACACCTCAGGCTGCCGATGCAGGCACTCTTAAGGGTCCTCGCGGCATTAAAGCCCAGACCCCCATCCAAAAACGAGGCAGGCAGTGAACCTGAACTGCACGACGAGCTGGCCGAATATATAGTGGAGATTTGAATTCAGGTTTGTAATTCAGCAGTTATGGGTTGGTCAGTAAGCTATGGCCTGTTGTTCTCTACACATGATTCTCAGGGTTTGGCTGCACTACTCACCAAATGTGCAAAATTAGAATGAATCTTCTGCAGAACGTGGAATAGTACGCCGCCATATGCTTTGTCTTTTATGCATGGTCATGATTAGAGGCCCTGAGGGCCACTGCACGTATTCCTGAGAAAAGGAAAACGGAAGAAAGGAAAACAAAAGAAAAGGAAAACTAAAAGAAATGGAAAATGAGAACAACGAGAAATAGTGACCCATAACCGAGATGCAGAGACCTGGATTTGAATCCAAATTATATATTCTTGGCCCATGCCTAGAAGTGGGTAGTGTGAAGTTCGCCTCTGCTACACATAGGGCCCCAGCTAATATGCTGTAAGGCCCCTTCGGAAAAGAGGCTGGACCCAGTAGGGCATGAATACTCGCATGCATAGACGAGTGCCCACAGTTTTGGGGTATCGCATGGCCCAAACTTTT